TCTAGGAGCCGTGGTGTCATATTAAGTTATGTTTGGGCTGTTAACCGAAGGGTCAGCAGTTTGAAACCACCAGCTGCTTGCCCCACAGGAGAGAGGAGGCATTCTACTCCCGGAAAGATTTATAATCTCTGAAACCCGCTCTGTCCTAAAGGGTCACTATGAGTAGGTGTCCACTCAAAGTCAGTAGCATGTTATGGCTTTAAAGATGATGTCTACAAGAAACCACAAACCAAGGATGTGAAAAAAATGATGCAGCTGCGTGAAAAAGAACCGGTGGATCCTCAATAGTTAAACGTAAAATTACCACGTAACCTAGCAATTCTATTAAAAGGAAGTGAACACAAATGTTCTAACAATCAAAACAAATAAACAAAAGATGTTCACAAATGTTCACAGCAGCATTATTCACAACAGCCTGGAAATAGAAACAATTCAAACATCAACTGATGAATAGATCAGAATGTAGAATAACTATATAATGGGATATTATTCAGCTGTATAAAGGAATAAAATGCTGACAAATGAGCATTCAAAACATTATGCTAAATGAAATAAGTCAGCCATAAAACAGCCACAAGTTGTAAGCTTCCATTTATATAACATATTCAAAATAAGCAAAACCAGAGAGATGATTAATAGGAAATAGTGGTCAGGAGTTGGAATAAGGCGATAATGGGAAGTGGCTATTTGAAAGATATGCGGATTTCTTCTCTTGCTCTGATTACGTTCTTGAACTACATAGTAATGACACACCATTGCGAATACACTAAATGTTTTTGAAAAGGGCACTTCAAAAGGGTTCAAATAGTAATTTGTATGTTATGTGTATTTTACCACAATAAAAACATAAAAAGTATTAAACTATAGTTGTGAAGATTTGGGGCTGTGCAAAGAAGAGAACATCAAAGTGACAATCTTGAGAATGCATGAAAAACATAACACTACGGGAAGGATAGGGAAAAATATAATAAAGCAACACTGGAATTTAACAGTCTATAAAGTTTTTTCTTAAAATTGATTATGAAAGATTTCCAAAAAAAGGAAAAATTTCAAACACTCTCAAAAGTACAATTAATGCCCATATACCCATCAATTATCAAGATTTTTATCTCTATGTATTTAGAAAGAACTTGGAAATTTAATCATCAAATTCATCCCAAACTGTACTGCTATACATCCAACTACTAAATAAATTGTTTTTAACACATTAAGTAAATGAGATCTAAATTCATCCTAACATGAATTAAGGAAGCTAGTTCAAAATAAAAGATACCAATGAGGCTGTACCTGTTCTCTGAACTCTTGCTCTTTCAACTTAGAGTCACTGATAAGAGTAGTCTTCCGTGCTAGTTGTGTCTGAAAAAACAAAAAGTCAAATATGAAACATACATGGGTTTCCCTCATTGCCTCGCTATTTTTGTACTGCTTGGGAATTATTTTCCTTGTTAAAAGTAGAAAGAAAATGTTTTGAGAATGGTAATGGCAACAAATGTACACAATGGGTGGATGTATGGATTGTGATAAGAGTTGTATGAGCCTCCAACAAAATGATTAAATTTTTAAAAAAAGAAAAGAAAATGATGGGAACATATGTACAAATGTGCTGGACACAATGGATGGATAGATGGATTGTGATAAGAGCTGTAAGAGCCCCCAGTAAAATGATTTTTTAAAAATAGTCCCTTTATGCTTAAGTTAAAACACCGCATGCTCCTGAAAATATACCACCTTCAATCATGATCTGTGAAAAACATGTCTCACCTGTAGTTCCTCAATTGTCACCTAAAAATGAAAAGGGAAAAAAAATTAAGCGTAACTTTAAAAATAAATAAACAAATAAACAACAAAATGGAGTAATGTAAGGAAATCAGAAACCATAGTTAATAGTCTTAAGGGCATGGTCAAATTTGAGATAAAGCAACTTCCAACATCTGTTTTTAAATCTAGTATCTTTTGTTACATAAAATATCATAGTCAAAGAAAAACAAATGAAAGTCTTTCACCAAACTCCCAACAATGGCAACAGCCTGGACGTAGGCGCTGCAGAGAATAAAGGGAGACTGTGTTCATGTATTGTTGTATGTAAGCTGACACTTTGATAAGAAGAGTCTGTTCCCACACTGGGTCTCCAGTGCTGCCCCCCACAGTACTATGGGTCAATGAGGGGCGTTGTGTCTCAAGTGGGGCCGACCCTAAGGTCCTTTCTGTACATTGGTGCTCTGAGCAGGAATATCATCCTCGGGGCTTGGTGGGTGAGGTCTGACGCCACCACACCGGGGTGAAACACTAAGGGCACTCAACAAAGCAGAAAGGGGAGCAAAGCAATGAAGTCCCTGGGAAATACCAAAAATAGACGTTGGGGCCAGGACGCGGCGCCCCATCAGACTCAACTGAACAACACTCCTAAAGGTCAAAAAACAGACCTGGAACTATTTAGAGGCTTTTCTTTTTCTGTCGTTGTTTTGTCTTTTTGTTTTCTTTGTTGTTTTGTTTTACTCTGTCTTGGTTTTGTGCTTATTAATTGTCTCTGCATGTCTATTTAGATAAGGCAGGATAAACAATCCGGAGAAGAAAACAACAGGACCAACGGTTGGGGGGTGCGGGGTGGGGATGATATGGGAGAGGGGGAGGCAGGGGAAAGGAAGGGGAGTGTTAACCCAGGGACAAGGGAACAAACAAGTGATCTAAAATCAATGGCAAGGAGGGTATAGGATTCCTGGTGGGGCTTGATTGAGGGCAACGAAGCCTGGAGGAATTACTGAAAACCTGAATGAAGGCCAACTGTGATGTGGGGCAGGAGAAAAGTAAAAGGAAATAGAGGAAAAAAGTAGGAGGCAAATGGGAATTTACAGAGGTCCAAATACAGGCATATAAAAATGTAAACATTTATATATAATGATAGGGAAATAGACCTATGAACATATATTTATATGTTAAGTATTAAGGTAGCAGATGGACATTGGGCCTCTACTCAAGTAACGTATATACTAGAGTATAAGCCAGCCCAAACATCAGCCGAGGCACCTCATTTTACCACAAAAACTGCATAAAAAATGTGCTGAAAAAACTCTGCTTATACACGAGTAAATACGGTACTCCCCCAATGAAAGAACACTTTGTTCTAATAAGCTGGCATTCTGTGATGCTCACCTTCCCGACACGAGACATGACTGCTGAAGACAAAAATGCGTGCATAAGCAAATGTGGTGAAGAAAGCTGATGGTGCCAGGCTATCAAAAGATATAGCATCTGGGGTCTTAAAGGCTTGAAGATAAACAAGCAGCCATCTAGCAGGGAAGCAACAATGCCCACATGGAAGAAGCACGAGGTGTTGATGGGATCAGGTATCAGACATCAAAGACACAGATCAAAAAATCAGATCAATGTGAATGAAGGGGAGTGCGGAGTGGAGACCCAAAGCCCATCTGTAGACAATTGGACAGCCCCCTACAGAAGGGTCACAAGGAAGAGAAGAGCCAGTCAGGGTGCAGTATAGCATCAATGAAACTTTCCTCTAGTTCTTTAATGCTTCCTCCTTGCCCCTATCATGACCCCCAATTCTACCTTACAAATCAGCTAGATCAGAGCACGTACACTGGGACAAACAAGAGCTGGAAACACAGGAATCCAGGACAGATAAACCCTTCAGGATAAAAAATGAGAGTAGAGATACCAGGAGGGAAAGGGAAGGTGGAGGGAGAAAGGGGGAACTGATCACAATGATCTACATAAAACCCCCTCCCAGGGGGACGGACAACAGAAAAGTAGGTGAAGGGAGACAAC